TTTCTAAGGTACATAAACTTTTGGTATTGACTATATAGCCAATACATCCTTAAGATCGTAATTATGATATATACGCGGCACATGCGCAGGAATCTTCGAACGAGAGCCCAAAGTAAATCGAAAGGCCTATAAACTACAAACTTCGGCAATAATATAATACTAATTATATTCCTGTGAGACTAAACTCTTGAAAGTCTCTTGAAATCGCAGCAAAAGTGGTAGCCGAATTTCGTTCATAAGTTTATTGTTTTAACATATGTGGAGTAATTTCTGTTGATCAGGGAGATATCAGATCCCTTCCTACTTTGCCATCAAATAGAAATTTACGTTTGGGAGATTATAAATTGGGTAATGTTAACAGAAATCATCAGTACGTCGACGAATCCATGAGATACTCGAGTAGCTGAATTTAAATCAGTTTCCGCGGACGGATATTTATTCTTGAACACGAGAAATGACCACAGCGCCGAGCGCAAGTGCCAGCAAACCGTAAGCGTTTTAATACTTGATCACGCGTTTCTCTAAACGGATCGTAATCCCTGTCCGTATTCTAAGTATGATATCGTGCAATACGTATACCCAACGCACACGCTGGTTACGCAACAATGATCGCAGTGTCTTCAACCGGCCGGTCAATTATGACTTGCACGTTACGCTAAACATATTTAGTCGCGAGTACACATTCGGTTATCTACAAGTAATATCTCTGATACTTCAATCGTTCAATGTTACCTGATTTATAATGTTTGATACTCGTTATTTTATATCCTAGTTATAAATATGTTCAACGGGTCAGTGATGATTTATATACTGGATTGAGCTAATCAGTTTTCCGTTTCACTAGTCCATGTTTTATTGTTTGTTTAGCCCGTAACTTATTTTAACTCTGGTAAGACTTTTAGTGCTAATCATTTTTATATTCCGCTTGCTTTAGTGTAACTGATAATTGTTATAACTACGCGGAATGAATATTACGCATAGACACAGAATAGTGTTTAGCTATATTGTTCCGAGATGTAGTTGCTCCAGTTTCTTTACCATTGTTTATTTCAAGTGAATGCATTGATTGATTGCGTGCACACATACCCGATACTAAAGTACGATTATATATCTCAGCACGGTGTTTAAACGATATACTTTGCATAATTTCGAATACATAAATTAATTCCACGCTAGATATCTCGCGAAATGACAAATTGCATCATCTGTCTCTTCGCACGCAGTTATAAATCGCATTCTAAAATACCGATGAGATAATTTTCGTCAAAAAAAGAAACTTAGGGAAACTTCGATTTAACGATCCACGATCATTACATGTTTCTCCATTTCTTCTCTTCGTTAGTCCTGGTATCGAATTTGCTATCGGCGGATTGGCAGCTGTGGGAGCTGGATTTTTCACAAATCCGATTGACGTGGTGAAAGTTCGCTTACAATTACAAGGTGAGCTCGAAGCGAAGCACTCGTACAAAAAGATATATAAAAACACCCTCCACGCGGCCTACTTAATTGCCAAGCATGAGGGAGTACTCTCGTTGCAAGCCGGCATCGTACCGGCCCTGTACTTTCAACTGGTGCTCAATGGAATACGTTTGGGTGTCTACAATACAGCGAAGAAGTACGAGCTTATTACTAACGTCAAAGGAGATACCGATATCCTGAAGACTATCGCGGTGACCGGTACAGCCGGTTGCATTGGAGCTGTTTTAGCCAGTCCCTTTTACATGGTAAATCCTACTTGCTGTTTTGTATACCGTCGTGTATAGAATGAGTTTATAGACTGAGCAAGTTTATAGAATGAGCAAGTGACCGTCAACTCTATGTGACGATAGGTAAAAACGCAACTGCAAGCACAGTCGGCGCAGTCTATAGCTGTTGGCCATCAGCACAATTATTCTGGTACCTGGTACGCATTCAAGTCTTTATGGAAGGAAGGTGGTGTAGTCGCTTTGTATCGCGGATGGTACGCTAACATACCGCGGCTTTTCGTCGGATCCGCGACACAGTTGACTACCTTCGGTATAGCTTCAGATTGGTTACGCTCGTTAGAAGTAAGTGTTGAAACGAGCATTGCAAATAATGTAACAAATTAATCGTATCTCTCCTTCCTTAAAGATATGCACGAATCAACCTATATTACTGACATTTTTGGCTTCCGCGATGGGCGGAAGTTGCGTGGCGTTCACCATGCAACCGTTCGACGTTCTGGCCACGAGGCTGTATAATCAACGTAAGCATGATCTGATTCATTCGATTCTGAATTTAGCCAAACTGATTGTGAACGTTCACAAATGCAGGAACGGACGCGGCCGGAAAAGGTACATTGTACAACGGGCTTTTAGACGCGTTGATTAAAATATTCCGGACAGAAGGACTGACCGGTTTTTACAAAGGGATTTTCCCTACGTGGATGAGAATAGCACCGCATACTGTATTGTGTTTAACATTCTATGAAAAGTTAGATGAATTGTACAATACAGTACAAAATAAACGGAGTTGATGGGATGTGCAGGAAGAAAAGATTTTATCACTTTTAGGCTTATAATATAGTACGAAAGAATAAATTAATTTCTTACAAGGGCAGTGATACGTTTCTCAATTCGCGAACAGTCGAATATGAAAAACCATGATATTAGTTCGTACGAAACTCGATGATGAAAAAATGCCCCGACGTCATGAATTAAAACAACGCGTTAAACACATATATAGACTGAACGTTTTCTTCAGAAAGCATAAGCTTTTCACAGTACGTAATTAATCTTTCTAAAATCTGAAAATATTCCCGTGATGTAATTCAAATTAACAAGTGTTTAAACTTGAACCGGACCATTAACTTAATTTCTAACTTTCAAGTCGTATAAAAGTCCTATACTTAAATAATTCCTTAATTAAATCTTTATACAAGGCCTGTATTGAAAATGAAAATTTACCTAATCATAAAAAAGTAGCAAATTGCGAGATCTTTGGTCCTCAGTTTTAGGCCGCGTTCGCATAGGCTCGGGAACAGTTTGGTCTAGATTTGAATCCTTGACTTATCGACGTCGTCACATCCATCGTATCTTTTCCTCTGGTCTCCGGTAAATATATCCTAAAGCGATAAACGTTTTCATATTAAATATCGTATTTCACGTGCCTGTGTCTGTCACTTCGCTTCTCGCTACGTACCTTACGACTAGCTCCAGAAAGAACAGGGCAACGACGAATATTAAAAAGGCGTAAGGTCCCATTAAATGTTCCACTGTCGGAAACAACATGCCTACTAGGAAATTTCCACCCCAATTGAAAACGCTACCAAGCGCCATAGCTGCCGGCCTGGGGCCGACATCGAACAACTCGGATCCAATAAAATATGGTATTGGCCCGAGACCGATTCCATAAAATATCACATAAGCTAGTATAGTCACTGTGCAGATTATTGACACGGACGATGAGAGATACTGGAAGGATACAGATATCTTATGAATCCTTGATCACGGTTGTCGAACGATCACATGAGTGAAATGCGTAATATACGTACAGATAGTTTTAAGGCAATGCATAAAATTATCAAACATCCGAAGCATAAGTAAATACTGGAGAGTAGAACGCCTCTTCTATTGAAAGATGACATCACTGGTACCGAAACAAGAGCCATGGCCATGTTCACTGCGCCGGTTGCGAGAGTCGCATACTGTGCCCCGGTGTTGCCAAGCCCGGCGTCAAGGAATATGGGGTTCGAATAGTAAAAGACAAAATTTATACCGCTCATTTGCTGTCCGAACTGTATCGTGCAAACTAAGAATAAGGGGAGCTGAAGAGCCGGATCTTTCAAAATGCGTTTGATAGTCCAAGGCTCGGCTGTTGTCTTCATTTCTGCTTCTTGTTCCAAGCTGGAGATCTCCACTTGCAAGAGCATCACGTCCATATTGCGTATCCTACTGAGTTCTGAAGAACGTAAAAATGATTTTAACCACTACTGCAAACCTAACAATCATCGCCAATTATCTACTAACCGTCCAAAGCTTTTTGTTTCTGATCCCTGATTATGAACAAATATTTCGGACTCTCGGGCAAAACGGTGCTCGTAAGAACTAAGGCGCACATGCATAATGGTGCGAATGCTGCGAGCATGAAATCCCAAGAGTTTTCAGTGCCTAGGACGGTGTTCAGTCCAGCAATTTGCCCTAGAAACACTCCACTTGTAATTCCCAATTGGCATAAGACACCGACCGCGCCTCTGAGTCTCAACGGTGCAATTTCTGCCATGTACATTGGTACTATACACGTTGCGATACCTCCGGAAAAACCTGAACGAAAAATGTTGCATAGTATAAAATTCGATATGTTAAACGAATGATGTTAGCTCTCTGAAACTTACCAGAAAGTAATCGGCCCGCTAACAATAGTTCAATCGAGTTTAATTTTCGTACTAAGAAGAGCATTCCAGCTCCTATAATCCCAAACATATTTCCAGCACATAGTCCTCCTTTCCTCCCGTATCTATCTGATACCCAACTGGCAAGAAACGAGCCAACTGCACCGCCGATGAGGAAAATCGAGACGACGGTAGACCAGATTATTTTCAACCCATTTTCAGAAACCTCCACTCCGTATCTCTCTTTCACGCTCTCATTGCAAAATCCTCCTATCAGCTATGATCGATGCAAACAGATTAGAATTGCAAGAATTCTTGTGAAACGATAGTTTCGCAATAATATACTAACATCAGCCGCATTATTTAATACTCCTCCATTGAATCCCGCCGGTACAGCTGATCCTAGGCAGCAAGTAACGCCTGCTAAGACTAACGTTAGGGTCCATCCTCCGGGTGCCTAAGAAAAGTTTGGAAAATATATATTTGCAGAATGTTTTAGGTAACAATAAACGTTACACATTCTTCGACATTTAACTTGCAACGTGAAGCTGATCTTTTTATGTAAAACAAAATTGAACAATCAAGCAGTTCCTGTGTGTTCAGTTTTATTGGAAAACATAAAAGCAATACGTTCATTTGTAAGTTACGCTTAAAAGAATGATAAGAGGTGGAGTGGTGACGATTTAATCTCTACCAATTCTTAATATGTCATCTGTAATTGTGCCACATTTCGTTATCAGAATGGATCAAATGGAACTTAACGAAGTAATGGAATTTTAATAAAGTTACATAAACATTGTTACAGAACATATACAAGACGTATTCATGAGGAAAGTGATGCGTTGCCAGTACATGTTAAGACACCTTAATGTGTGCTATGGGACATGTAATGGTACAATGTAATTAAGTAAGGCAAATCAGTTGGTGAGTTTCTCACCGATCCCTCTCTTCACAAAAAAGGAAATAAAAGTTTTATATATATACGTATGTAAAACCAGAAAACCATACCACTGAAACAAGTTAAGCATCATAAGCAATAGTGTGTCGCACCCTGGGAGACCAATCAGTGATATAACGGAAAAGCCTGGATGGAATGATGGAATTAAACTGAATAAAACCACACATCACTGGTAAACCTGGAAACTATGTAGACAATCAAACATTCGTTACAAGAACCTTTTTTTTATGACATGGAGTTAGGTTCATCCTTAGTTTCTCAGTTAAATGTGTGCACACACCCAAAAAATAATCCCTCAAATAACAAACACTTCACAGTGCTACGTTTTATAAATGAATGACATTATACCGGCGATCCATTGAGTATAAGTAATCAAGATTATGCAGTCATTTTTCTATTGCTTATGACTTATTCTTTTATCTTTCTCATTTTTATGTAACGTCTATCATGTTTATATGAACTTGAACACCATCGGAACGCTTATCAAACTTACATTAAAGAGATATCATCTTAAGAGCTGCATTGAGAAAGAAAAGAGAACAACATGATGATAAATTGACATCCAGTTAGTTTTTACACATTAAATCATGTGTTTAAACACAGGGCATACAGACACGAATGCCTGTGATAAATTACAATAAAAAATCTTACCCTTGTTACTTGTGAATTGTTTTATATTAAGATCAGATTATTACTGAGCTATCTAAGTGAGAGCAGTTCGACATTCGTCGAAAGATGCGAAATGAAAGAAACAGTGTGTACCCGAATTGCATACGTACCGATCTTTCATCGCGGTTCTCCGAATTAGGTTGTCGTGGACGTTCGGAATCCGTAAGAACGGCAGCATCACTATCTGCAATTACGATTAACAATCATGCTTAAACAAAACAAGGCCTTATATTGTTACCTTACGAAAAGAACAAAGAACAATATGGTCATTTTTTATGAATCTAAGTAATGAGATCAATGCATCGTAGTGAGCATGAAAATGAAACAGAGTTAAAATAAGAGAGTAACTATTCAGAATGATTAAAGAAGCTTTAGTTTAGATATTACCTAACTCCATGCTCTCTGCAGCACGTGTCACTGACACAACGTCAGGACGGTAAATAAGAACACTAGAAAGTAGAAACGAGCCACCGCTTGTGAAATGGAAACGCGTTGTTTTCGTTCTTTTACACTGGTCGAAGTTTCGTTTTTCTCCGGTGCAATTGCAGACGAGAACAATTGCCTATACAGGCCAATAACAATGTGAACGACCGAAATATCCACTATAAATAGGCTCGAATTAAACGCGTGCCACTGGTGCAACGAATGTAACTAAGTCTGCGCTCGGGTTAATCGAATAAATGTTTCTTTGAAGAGCATCGCGACGTTCCGAACGAATGCGCAATTTGTAGTATACAAGGGGCTTTGTGAATCACGTGTACGCATTGAACTTTAATGAATGACTTGCGATGATCTATAGATCACCAGCCGACTGTTGATTGCACTACACGAAAACCAGACCCCTGCAGTGATGACTTTTTATTCCCAGCATGGCTATGTTGAGGCGTATATCTATGAGGCGTGGTTTTTTTAGGTTTCATCATGGGTTTTATCAACTTCCTGGGATGGTATATCGCAAGATAGAACTGGTTAGAACCTTGAATTGAATATATATCGTCGATGAATGTGTCAGTGGTTATTACAAATATTCGTACAAACGGAAACTTGGAGAACGTGCGCGGAATTTACATTTGATGGCTGTACACAGCGAGTATATTTATGCATTTACGAGAAATTTAAATAAAGTAAGGTAAACAACGGAAAATTTCCACAGGAAAACAATACTTTAAAAGACGAGATAAGATTGATTTCCTTTAATCAGTTTTATAAAAATATTAAAATTAATTAACTTCGATCGATTTCATTAATTGTTTTCTACAAGTATAACTAAATGAAGAGATGTGTTCGTCTATAATTTTTATCTTATTGCATTATACGACAAAGAAAACGATCGCTGTAATAAAAACATTAAATTGGTAGTAGTTGATATGTACTCACGTGTAGGCATTATCGGGAATGAAACACTGGGAGTGCGAAAACGTGATTACGAAGCGTTGACTAATCTAAGTGCACGTGTAAGCAATCTAAATGTTTGTAAAGTAGTAAAAATGTTAACAAAAGATCATAAAAAGAAGAATTATAAAAGATGGACAATAAGAAATCAATAGAATGATTTTTCTGTTTCGACTCGTTGTCTTTAATGCGTCGGATAGAATTTTAGGTCAATAAGACATTATGCCTTAAATGTCTCGTCGTTAAACTCGCCTGGAATAAATTAATTAAGTATGCGTTTATCACGCGACGCATCGGACAAACATTAGACATTTGCAATGCTCCTCCAGTCAATTGAATGTTAATCATTCAATTTAGGAGCTACGAAAAGATTGATATCGTACGAATGAAACGATAATTCACGGTAACTGTAATGTCAAATGATTTAATGGACATCTTGTTCAGTTTTTACGTACCTTTGTAATCGAGCATGTCTCCAGTTTCCGAATCGCAGCGCATGTACGATGATCTAAGGAGAAATAATGCTTAAAGTAAGATAATTGTAACTTGTCAGTATGATTTAAGTCTGTAAGTTATAGGTGCTTGACCGTTCGGAATTAAATTTCATTGTTGCCTCGTTCACTTTTAACACTTGCACGATCTCACTACTGACAATGTATGCAATTTGCGTTCCCGTTCGAGCTTTTTAAGAGCGTCGTTGTCGTTCTGTCTCTGTCGTGACGTATGTAACTGACGCTCGTCGAATTTTATCGATCCATTTTGAAAAATCGAACGGTCGACTAGTCGATTGGATTCGACGAGTTTTCAACGGTCACCGATCGTACGATGATCGTGTCAGTTAAAAGTTCGTTCGTTAATTGAAGTTTTTGGCCTACATACTTCTTAAATTAATCGCGCATCAATGGAAATTAACGTCACGTGATAAAGGTCAGCTCGGGTCAGTCTGTTTTCCATATCTGTGCTTTTCAGTTTTACTTTCTGTCTCGATAGTTTTTAGATTCTCATTTTATTAGAAAATGTGATTTCATATCGCATGAATTACTGCTAATTCGGGTAGCTAACAATAAGTTTGATTAACTTACTGTGTGTTCCCTTATTTTGAAACGTTTCCCTTTTATTGGCTTGAGTCCCAGAGCGCACGGTCGGTCGTCTAGTTTGTAACGCTGCTCAAGAGGGACTGGTTCAATTACTTAGCGCAAACGATTTCAGAAGTTCAAGCTGCCTCCTGCTGGCTCCCACCAATTCCATCGCCTTGAAACGGGGCAAGCGTTACTTACGCATTTTTTATTTGCTCCTGTAATTAATTTTAACCGTCCGATCTTATGAAAAAACGTGTGAAATCATTTCGGTTCGTGTTCGACGAGTAGTTCTTCAATTATCGTGAAAAACTGGATTAACGCCTGAAGAATTCTGCGATCCCGATGGATGTAAGTCAAAGGAACTTAATTAATGGAATCATCCCTGGCGCCGATCTCGTTAGTAATTTCTTCTGTCTTATCTTCTAGGGTAAGTGAGTCACAAGCATAATTCACTTTAATGATACGGCGTATATTTAGAATGTATACTGGTAACATATACAGATGTTTAATGGGTGCATTTATGTATGCAATGCATTTTAATAGATCGTCTTCTCGGGGGACGTGACGTTGATTCCACGTTAATATCTTTCACACGCGGACAAATCTGATGCACGTCACCCGGAAGAGTACATATTTTGCTAATCGCAGTGTTTGTGAACATATTTTCCATTCCATGTATGCTTATTATCTATATTCCTTATCTACTACACTTTTGTCCAATTTTTCCTGAAACGTAAACTTGAACTCTTGTGTCACTTATCTATTTCTCAATTCATCGAATGATTTGTAGTAACTAGAACGTACGTATTAGCTGGAAAATGTAACGCGATAGTGGAAAATGTTTGTTTACTATCGTTTACACAGTTCCTTTCCGAAACGTATCGTTTAATACGAATTTACGTCATATATGTTTCGTCGACATTTGTAAAAGAGGAACGCGACGACATAAAACATCCGCGCGTTTTCCTGAGACACGTGTACCTCAGGTACAATCCTTTCTGAGATCCTGTACTCCTCTGATTCCTTGACCCAGCGCCGTAGTCAAGGGATACTTGCCGCAGCCGCACTGCTGATTGAAATCGTCTAGATCCAGTGACCAAACCATCGCTCCGGCGAGATTTAAATGCCTCACGAATTCCGCCTGTGATAAAACATACGTCTCGGTGATAAGAGCTCAAAGTTATCATTATATTACGTCGCTGTAAACAGTAGACGTCAATTACCTTTCGCTTTATACTGGATACATCTTCATAGCTGACCCATTGATCACCTTTGTTAGCACGTAGATTCTCTGGGTCCTTGATCGCGGACCAACCTTTATTTATCACGTTATCGCATATCTGAGAAAAACAAATTCCTCTTGAATTTCGCAAGTAAAGATTAATCGAATTTCTGTTCAACTTTTCCATAGATAACGTTAACACGTTTATTTACGCTTAACGCTTATCGCTTTTAATCCATGTGTACACATTTTTTATCGTACCTCATAAAACGCAAGCATGCCAGCGGATCTAGTGAAGTTTCCTGGGTGTCCAGGCCCAGACACATCCGCGCCGAGGCTTTCTTCCGGCTTTCCCCGTAACGTGAAGCTTTGCCCATACGTCGGCACACCCATTATAAGCTTGTTCGATGGTACACCTTGCTCCAACCAGTACGTTATCGAGAAGTTCGCGTTCAAGTATTCATCCTGCTCTCCCGGTTGGCGATAAAGCGGCGCGACGTGACCAGTCTTACCGTCCAAATACGTATGATAGTCATAACTCATTACACCGAGCCAGTCCAGGTATCTCGATAACGCTGGGATATCGTAAGCTACGTCGATCACTTGTTTGCTAGCTGATACCGCAGCGGAAAGCAATAGACCTTTGGGTTTGAAGGCTGCACTCAGTTCTTCTAACAATGCTGTGTAGGCTTCTTTATCGGTCGATGGCCCAAGATTGCAATCCATCTGTAGCATAGCGATAAATCATTTCATTGTATTTGTGTATGTGTATTCCTACTTGGTCACTTATTACGTGTATAATAAAAAGATTAGTATAGGATATTGTAAAATATTCCTACATACCTGCCAGCACACTGGATACTCCCAGACCAAATCTAGACCGTCAAACCCGTGATTCTGAAGGTAACGGGAAGCATGGCTTGCGAATCTTCGTCGTTCCACCGGGTCATGTGCCAATCTGCTATACTTTTCGTCTTTGGATTCCTCCCAGCCTCCCAAAGCAAGCAGAACCTTCAGTCCGGTTCTTCTCTTAATATCCATCAATGCATCAAGTGATCTTTTCTGTCTGACGCCTTGAAGATTTTGTATCGTCCATCGTAACGGATCCAACGTGGCAAAACCGTAGACGACATGGGTGCAGAGGTCCGTGATGATATCCTCCGGTTGGAATTGTCCTGCACCCGGTCGCCTCTGTGCCCACTTCGTCAAATAACAGATCACCTTCTTGTTGTCCGTTTCCGGGTTTGAGATCAGCGGCAGTAGCTCGTTCGACTTTATTTACAATATTATGTATTCATAACTCTCTTTGATAAAATATTACAAGATTGTAATTATAAAAGGATCGTGGCACTCACTTGGCGTTGAGCTGCCCTGCATTTAGTGTTTTCCGGCCAGTCGCATCGGTTCTCGTTCCAGTAAAGGCCGGGGGGGCAGGAATGCTCGGTGAGCATTCCGAAGTTACATAAAAAGTACTTGGAGCAATCTTTCTTATGCGGGACGAACAAACGATTGCCACAGTCCTGAGGCGAACCGTCTACTATCGGTGGTCCAGCTTCTATCTCAATTGTATCGTCGGTGTCCGGATCTACGGTCGTTGATACCGGGGGTAAATACGTAGGTCTAGGAGAAGTTACTGGTTCCCAACTTGGTCGTTCAGTGGTCGTAGATTCTGTACTAGATTCTCCAGCATCGATAGTCGTAAATTCTGTTTTTTAAATATCATTTAATTGTTATTTATTCAATTGAATTAATTAATCAATGTGTAAATCATATACCATTTGTTACGGGGCACAGCGGGCCTTTAGGATAATCCCTTAGAACTCTGTTCATGGTTCTTAAAAGCGGACTGGGTTCGCAGTTGCATCTATTCTTGAAATCATCCAAGTCGAGCGCCCAGATCATGCCACCGGCCAACCCGAGGTCCTTTATCAATTCTGCCTTCAGTTTGATTTGCCTGGCATCATCGAAGCTGACCCATTGATCGCCTTTATACGCGTACGGACCGATCCGCCGTTGTTTGTCTTGTACGACGGTCCAACCACCCTTCAGGGTTCTTTCGCAAATCTATAATAGTTGGAGATATAATACAGTAAATCATGAGAAAATACTGAAAGCGAGCTGATAGATATAGTTACCTCGTAATAGGATAAGAAACCGCGAGCTCTCGTTGCCTCCCCGGCTTCGCCACCGCCGTAAGTCGGGGCGTTTAATCCTCTGTGACTTCTCTCGGCCAAAGTGAACGATTGACCGTACAATGGTGCTCCCATTACTAGTTTATCTGCCGGGGCACCCTTCTCCATCCAATAATGAATAGAGAAATTCTGTAAAAGAAACATTATAATAGAAATTTGAATTGAAGAGTCAGTTTCAGTACGAAACACTCACAGCGTTGAAGGTCGGCTCCCAGTCGTTAGGCAACGAATAGAGAGGAGCGACGTGTCCAGTTTTCTTGTCCCACTGGCCATGATAATCGTAGGTCATCACTGATATCCAGTCCAAGTATTTCGCCAAAGCTGGCACATCGTATCCGGCATCGATGACGCGTTTGCTCGGTGAAACTGCAGCCGACAACAATAAACCTCTCGGTTTAAATTCTTCGCTCAGTTCCCTCGCCAAACTCGCGAATCCTTCTTTGTCGGACTCTGGACCTTTGTTACAATCCACCTACAATTTAATCGTTAGAATCTGTCTTATAATAACGTAGAAATAAATCGTAGCGTGTCTCACCTGCCAGCATACGGGATATTCCCAATCCAGATCCAGCCCTTCGAATTCGTATTTCTCGATGAACTGAATCACGTTCTCGATGAATCTCTTCCTGGCTGACGGTGAATTCACTAAACGACTGTACTTGTCGCCTGCCGAATCGTTCCAGCCTCCGATAGCCATCAACACTTTCACTCCCTTCTTCTTCAACGCTGCCACTCTCTCGTAGAATTCTAAAAATTAAAATTAAACTGTGACATGGAGTGCCAAGAAAAATCACACGAAATCAAACGTCGAATCCCTTACTGTTATCTATATCCGCCCAAGGATCGTGCGACTTGATGGTCAACTGCGATCCATCTAGAACCGCGAAACCGTATAGAACGTGGGTACACAAGTCTGTGTCCACATCTTCCGGTAGGAACTTCCCTCCGTTTTGACGGTACCAAGCCCAATTCGTAAAGTAGCATATTACTTTGAATTTATCCTCAGGTTGCGCTTGATCCCTCGAAGTCGACGTCGGTATCGGCGTCCTAGCCGTAGAAGATGCTACCGAAGGCGGCATCGGACCTTGATCTAAATCGTTCTCAGTAATTGCTGGTTTCTCAGCTGCAAATAAAATCAAGCTCGATTCATTTTATTATAATTCACAATTGAATTTGTTAGAAATTAGACCATTAATGGTTCATCTCGGGAATCTATAGCTAGCGATAATAAAAACTCACGTTCTTCCTCTTTGTTCGGGGGTGGAGCCAGTACTTCCTGAAGTGTATGCATCAAGGGATGCTGTCCCTCGCCGCACTTTCCTCGAAAATCATCGAGATCCAATGCCCAAACCATTCCGCCACCCAGACCCATCTCTCTAATGTACTCGGCTTTCTTACGAATCATGTCCGCGTCGTCGAAGCTGACCCACTGGTTGCCTTTGTACGCATAAGGACCCATTCGACGTTCCGGATCTTGTACAACGTTCCACCCGCGGTTTCGTATCCTACTACAGATCTCGTAATAGGATAAGAATCCTGCAGCTCGAGTAAATTCTCCCGCTTGTCCAGCACTTGCTGGAACGTTCAACCCCGTGCCTGCGCTCTGATCGTTTATACTGAACGATTGCCCGTACAACGGCATTCCTGTAATCAAAATATTATTTCAAATAACGCTTCACAGGATCAGTGAAAAATGTTTGATTAACGAAATAATTACCCATAACGATGTTCCGTCGAGGGGCACCTTTTGCTATCCAATAATTAATGGAATAGTTCGCGTTGAAATAATAGTAATCGTCGTCCGGGTGGTAATAGAGCGGCGCTACGTGGCCCGTTTTCTTGTCCCATTGCCCGTGAAAGTCGTAAGTCATCACCGCGATCCAGTCGAGATATTTAGCGAGTGCTGGAACGTCGTACCCATGATCTATCACCTGTTTGCTCGGCGAGACTGCAGAACTGAGTAACAGTCCTCTGGGTTTCAGCTCGCTGCTCAGTTCTCTCAGCAGATCCGCGAATCCCTGCTTATCCGAGGCTGGTCCTTTCTTACAGTCAACCTGAAGTTCGATTATAAAATAAGAAAAGATGAGAATTGATTGTCTTTAGAAAAGATAAATTAATCTACGCGTACCTGCCAACAGACGGGGTACTCCCAGTCGAGGTCCAATCCATCGAAATCGTATTTCTCCAAGAACTGAATAGCTTGCTGGATGAATTTCTTCCTGGCGGCAGGATTATTCACCAATCGACTGTACTTGTCGCCAGCAGAGTCGTTCCAGCCTCCCAAAGCAAGAGACACTTTCAATCCCCGCTTTTTATACGCAACCACCCGTTCATAGAAATCTATCAGAGATCGTTTATATTAACACCGGATACTCGTCAGTGCGATCTTATAATAAGCGATTTCTTACGATTGTCGTAATCAGCCCAGGAATCGTGAGCTTTTATGATCAGATCTGAATAATCCAAGACGGCAAATCCGTAGACGATATGCGTGCACAGCGTGTGGTCGATATTTTCCGGAACGTAACGACCGACTCCTCTTCGGTACCAGGCCCAATTCGTGAAGTAACAGACAATCTAACAGGGAAGGAACATTATTACATGATTACGTATATTCAATCGTTTCATAAATAGAATCCTAAAAATGATTAATATGGAAATTCTACCTTGTAATGTCCGGACAATGGTGAGACCTTCTCAGGATCTATGACGGCCGAGGGTAAACTGGTGGTTGGCTCAGTGGTGCTGGCTTCCCACGCTTTCTCAGTCGAAATGGTTGGTACGCTGGGCAGTTCGTTGCCAGGAGTGCTCGATTCTTGATTGTCCGTTGGCACAGAATTGTCCTGGCAGTTAGCTCGAGACGGCCAGTCGCATATCCTCGTCCTCTCGTTGAAGTGCAATCCTGGAGCGCAACGGAACACCTCGTACCGACCCCACAGACAAGCCTTGAAACTTTCGCAATCCCCCGGTACGCTGGAGTAGCTCTCAGGCGTGCATGGCTGCAAGAAATTATTAGTCTTTTACCTTCGTCACTCGCCGCTGACCATAAATCAACATTTATTGCAAACATTTGAAGGAATACTTGTATTATTAACTTACGGTAGACTTGGCACCAGCCGCGACCAACGAAGCCGTTTTCTTCGGTTTCTCGATGCAAGGATTCTTGAACGCCCAATCGCACATATTTTTTTCCTTGTTCCAGTTCAATCCCGGCCCGCATTGCTGTGAGACTAAGTTCCCGTTCACGCAAATCCTGAAGCTCGTACACGAATTCGGGTACGAGTAATACTGCCCGTGAACGCAATTTTTCTCTGTCTCTTCATCTGGACTCTCCGTAGTTATCGGCTTCTGGGTAGTAGCTTTCGTAGTCGTTGACACCGTAGTCGGTCTTGCCGTTGTCGTCGTAGTTGTGGTACTCTTCTCAGTGGTCGACGACGGCTTTTCAGTTACCGAAACTGCTTAAAAAATAAATGTTACGATTTGTATTTTAAATCAGTTTTATGTTGTATGTACTTATGGCAAATCGGGAAACTTTGTAAGCTTGCAACGAGACGAGGCCCATGCAAATCGAGATGAAAATTGCATAAATTAAATACAATAGCTTCATATTTTAAAGAGATAGACTGACACAAGCTGAGTGTCGCGATCGAGTGATTACAAAATCGCTGGAAATAAGCGCGCAGGAGCGAAGGAGATGCTCACTGATGAGTATAAACAGGTTTCCTATAGGCCGATGAGCCTGTTAACGACAGTTCCTAAGACTGTTACGCAGAATATTGTAGTCTTCTAATACAACGATATCTAAACTTATGTTTCGCTGCGCTGATCAAAGAAGATTCTGTTTAATGAATGAACGGGTGTCAAGAATAGACGATCTTACTGGTTCCCACTTGACATTTCGCCGCAGCTGGCCAGTCGCAGATATTTCGTCTCGCGTCCCAATGCAGTCCTAGCGCGCATTGCTCACGTTGCAATTCGCCGAGAACGCATCTAAAGTAATTATTGCAGTTATCAGGATCCGAAGTGTATTCCCCGGTCATGCACGATGTTCCAGGCTTCGAGGAATCCGCTGGATTCTCCGACACTTCTATTGCTTCCGTCGTCGACTGCACCACCGGTGGTCTACGAATTTTTTAATTAAAAAAACTAATGTAGATCGATGTTAAGAAGCCAGTTTACAGTACACGCTTTAAAGTGTAATACTTGGTCGTTGAAGACACGGTCGATGATGAAGAAATACTTTGGGTTGTGGATGCCGGTTTATCGCTCGGTTTCCACGTCCAAGTCGGCCAAGTGGTCCTCGTCGTTCGTTGGGTAGTTGTGCTCGGTTTCTCTGTCCACGACGGCCACGTGGTCGTTTTCGTGGTCGACATCGGTGTAGTCGGTCGAAGAGTTTCGTCTATGGCATCACGATGGGTCGTCAGGGTAGGTGGTTGCGGTGTAACCGGCTCGGGTGGTCTTTGGCACCCTTCGGATGGCTTACTCCTTAAACGACCTGCGATAACATTTTTCAATGATTAAACGACGAAACTTCTTAAACCGATATCATAAACATTTTATTCTCTATAAATGATTCGCTCACCTAGAGCGCGGTTTATGCTCTTCAGAAGAGGGAAGGATTCCAAGCAGCAGCGGTTAGTGAAATCGTCTAAATCCACGGTCCACAGCGTAGCGCCTCCGAAACCGTTCTGCAAAATGTATTGTCCCTTCGCGTAAACGCTCTCTCGATCGTCGTAGCCAACCCACTGATCCTTCTGATAAGCACTCGGCCCTAGAATAATCGCAAACATATAAAATCGTTCGAAACCTGACGTTCCGTTTATCGTCAATGCTTACCTGATCCGATCTTCCAACCCTTGTTTTGGATTCTGTCGCATATTTCGTAATAAGCCAGCATGCCTGGCTGTCTCGTAAATTCTCCAGGAGTTCCAGGCCCCGTTGCTGGATCGCCAATGTTTGATAGATCCTCGGTGGACAGTCGATAAGCTTGCCCGTACATAGGAATGCCCACCAGGAGCTTCGATTTCTCAGCGCCAAGATTAACTAGATATTCCATCGTAGAATTCTAAAAGTATTTTCTACATGAATTTCTATTCCGTTTTCATTTACACAATGCAAGAAGTACCGTCTGTTTGCAAACTTACTACGTTGTAGTACGGATTGCTATCAGCAGTATTCCCGAAGAGAGGCGACAAATGTCCAGTTTTCGACTCCCAAGCACCGTGATAATCGTAAGTCATCACCGTGACGAAATCAGCTAGTTGTGAGATATCTCGGACCTCGTAAGCTCTGTCGATCACTTCTTTGTACCCTGACATCGTCACAGCCAGGGTGAGCTTCGGTTGCTGCTGGTCGAACTCCTTCCTCAACTCCTGAATCAGTTTGGTAAAGTTCGGCTTATCGGAGTCCGGACCCTTCCGGCAATCGCTCTGCCAACATTTCGGGTAATTCCACTCGAAGGACAGGCCGTCAAAGTTGTGCTTCTTCAGGAAGTTGATCGCGGAAGCTACGAATTTGCGGCGAGCGGCACCGCTGCTCACCAGCCGGGAGTACTTGTCGCCGGTGCTATCGGTCCAACCTCCGATTGCCAGCAACACCCTCGATCCCTTCATCGTTATACGCTCGTACAAGTCTAGAAACATTCATTCATTCATTCATTCGATCGTTAAACTTCTATGAAGGTATAATAAAAATAGTATAGAAAAATCTGCAGAAGGTATAAAGAATGTATATAGAATATTCTATCTGAAATGTGATAAAAGTCGCGTACTGTGTTCGATGTCGACCCATGGATCGAAAGGTTGAATAAGTAGCGTGTCTGGATTTAATCCAGCGAACGCGTAAATTATGTCGGTGCACAGTCGAGAGTCCAACCGTTCTGGGACGAATAAACCGTCGCCTTTCCGATATACGGACCAGGACGTGATGTAACAGACCACGCGTACTCCCTTCTCGTTGGAGAATTGTAAATGCTGTTGCTCCTGTGTCTCCCTGATCTCACCGAAATGAGAATGTTCCTGAATCTGTTGGAACTGTCCCGGTTTGCATACATCCCGGCTAGCTTTCACGCACCGGTTTTTAACCGGGTCGAAGAACTTTCCCACTCCGCACTGGCCGCGATAACGCTTTTCTATTTGAAAATTAAACGACTCGAATTAATAGATGCGAATTAGAGAAAGCGTCAACTTTTCTAATTCGGACTGTACCATTATGGCAGCTGTAGAACCCTGAGCAGTTCTCCGGATCCTTACTAAGTCCATCCGTAGAACACTTCTCAAGCTGTGCCTCATCGTAAAAACCAATAGATTCGGTGGCGGCATTCAACATTGGCCAAGGATTTCCACAAATGCCCTGAGAACGAATATACATTCGAGTTTTGGAATACACGAGAATATTTATAAGAGAAGTAAGGATTACTTGAAAATCGTCAAGATCTATGGACCACAAGGAAACACCGCCGAGGCCGATGGACCTAACGTAGGCTGTCTTGATTTTCACCGACAATGGATCCTCGTAGCCGACCCACTGGTCTCCGCGTTTTATATACGGTCCTTCCTCGTCTCTCCTAGAAGCCCATAATCCATCTTCCAGCTTCTCGCAAATCTAAAACAATGAATAAAAGTTAACAAGTCTATTTTAGCCATCGTGTGACAAATTATATTTACCTGATAATAGGACATCCTCCCGTTTTTCTGCTCATCGTAGTTGTGATCGATCGCCGGGTCGACGATGGGTGACCCAGCGCCGGTGAAGTTTCCAAATTTCAAAGTGTACCCTTGTCCGAAGACGGGTATGCCAAGGATAATTTTCGACCTGTGCTCCCTGGGCACCCGTTCGAGCCATTTATTCGTCACGCGAACGACGTACTTGAAAGGAGCCGGATGAAGAGCCAATTTCTCCCTCCTGAACGCGGGACTGTCTCTCCACGCTCTTAGGATGACTAAATCAGCTATGGAAGTAATCTCCTGATCAACCGGATCATCGGGTCTCTGAGCGACAGCCAGAATGTATTCACGTTCACCGAACGCCTTCCGAATCGTTTTCAACAAGAGTTTCAAATCGTTCGAACGTTCCGATGAGGTTTCCCAATTGATTTCCACGCCGTCCAAGTCGTGCGCCTCGAGGAAGTTCAACAGGGACTCGGCGAATCTCTCGCAATGGGCTGCACACTGATTTTTAGTCAACTCAGAAAACAGCTTTCCTCTATTTGGAGCGGAGATCGAAACGAGCACTTGCAAGGCCGGGTCCCTCGCCCGGTGTCCCGTTACTGCTTTATATCCGCCTGTTCGAATTGACGGCATAAATTAACGGGACTCGCGATTTCATCTATTTAAATGATCTAGTCGATAACAAATAGACTGCGGATTATATTAATTCCTGCAGAAATTGAATACAGAACTGCATACGATTAAATGATGAAAGGAATGTTTTGCTTAACATAAAAGCCTGCAGTCTAATAGATTCTGTCTCGCGTTACCTTTTATTTCGTCGTATTCGCGGTCCTTTGAAACGACGACCAACTCATCCGGATCTGAAAAGTATTCATTATTCAGCCTTTTTCTATGGATCTGAAATCTCCGAGACGAGCGATGCGTACCCAAAGTAGCGGCAGAATATATTAAATGACTGCACCGATGGTCTGGTACAGATTGAGGAAACAAGGAGAACGGTTCCGCTCTGTGGACGGAACTGGAGTCCAAATAGCAGACAACTTTCGGATCGACGATTTGTTGCGTTCTGGTGAGAGTCGGCGGTGCCAATGGTTCTATCCAAATGGACTCGTGCTCGACGCTGTTAGAAAAGAACGGCGCCTCCCGATGTTCCACGGCGTCCCTCAAAGGCACTCGACCACTGAATTTAATATGATTAATTAATAAGATTGTGGATTCTTATGGTATCAGTTTGAAAAACCCAGTTTGGTGAACAATGGTCGATGCATCAGTCATGAACAACGTAAGTACAAGGCTGATTTTCTTTACAATTGCAATGAATATGAATGATCGATCACCACGCGATGCAATAATTGCGTACCTTATAGGTTCCCTCAAAGGTTGATTGGTGATCAGAGGATCGAGCTGATAATAGGGCAACGCTTCGACCGCGTCTCGCAATGGAAATCTTTCGGATCCGTATTCCGCGTGGGTAACGAAACTCGCGTCGAAAGAGTTATCATTTGGCGGACCTTCGACTGCGCCGCGTTGAAACGCGGGCACGTCGATGATCTCCACATCGGCTTCCCTCTGATCAGGATCCAACAAAGGTGGCAGTATCGTGTCAGTGATCGTTATTATCCTATTGGGTGGCCCCGCGGCAGCTGAGGCTGCTAGAGCCAGAAGGAGCCAAGGAATCATCGCTGGAAACGGATTGAACGGATTAATAAACCTACGGATTTTTATATAAAGATATTTGATATTGAATTGTGGAATGCATAAAATCTGCATCAGTTGAATCATTCAAGACTTCGGACCAATAATCAGTTTCAAGTTTTAATCAATGTCTGACTCTGATAAAACCAATGTCAATTTTTTCCAACATAATTTATAAGAACATCTCATTTGGTCGAGGGTGATTAGCAACCAGAATCGATTAAACTCGACGAGTGTGTTAATCAACGACCCGTGAATTATTGGATGTTAAACAAAAACACCCGACATCGTTCTCTCCCAGTGGAATCATATTTGCCAGGACGATAAACCCAAACGTGTTCGCGAATGCGCGTGTATGCGCGTCTGTTCCCGGGAAACCTGTCCTGCACTCGAGACACGCGTGCACCGACACCGAAAAAGAAGAATATATGCAGTAGGAGATTCGCGTTACAAGACTCCCCAGCCACTGTAGTAATTGCTTCTCACCAATCATAAAGACGACCAGCCGAGACATACCAGGAAAACGAGTATTCCTTCGCCGTCTGCTTCTCTGTAGCAATTTTCTATTTTATAAAACGCGTGATAAGGGATTTAAAAGAATTGATGAAACATTTTCTTTGTTTCATTAAAAATAATGCAATATTGAAACATTGAGCGATTTAATTTAAGAGATGTTTAGTCACGGATTCTTTTACTGAGGACATCTGACGAATCGTGTGGCATCGTATAACAATGTGAACCGCGAAATGAAAATTTATGCGAAGACCGCAGTGATTCACTCGAGGACAAAGACACTCGTCACGTCGTCGCTGATACTTGAATCTTCCTCGCGATGCGACGTTGCTTAACGATTAAAAATGCGACGCTCGTAGGTGGAAGTGACCGGAATCCAGTGGACAACGTTTGCCAGCGAGTCTATCATTCTTCCGATGCCGTTTCAAATATCGATACTATTGATAGCGAGATTCTTTTTGACACCTTCCGTGCCGATGGGTATTCGTTATCTAATTTTGCCAAATCGTGGCGTTAAAAAAGGATTTAAAAAATGAGTAGATATAGACTAAATGATGATATAGAAAATGATAGAATAAAAGACAGTGAGTAGAAACTGGTACATTTACTATGTTTATAATTACTTAAAGGCTAGCTTTTTAAATTACATTTATCACTTGATAAAGAAATAATAACGAATCGAACGAACCTTGGCGCGAACAAGTGACAAGAAGGGTGTACGTCGCCGGTACCTCCAGATTCCGACAGTTGGCTGATCCGTAACGTGAATGTCAACCGATTCTACTGCACTGACCGATGGATGTTGATCGAGAAGCGACCGGACCCCTCCGGACGAACTCTTTGCCAATGAATTTTTCAAACCTCGCCACCCGCTTCGCGGGGAGGGCTAACTTGCATGAATCTGGTATTCCGAACGTGCGGGGACCTCCATATATACCTACTCCGTCGGACAGGGACCCCTCGGCTCCCGCACCCTACGCTCCCGACCCTGTCGCCAACGTCCTTGACCACGAAGAACACGATCGTGTACGTACACCGATTCTCCTCAGGCAAAACGATACACGACGCCTCGTCCCGTGGCAACGACTCGCGATTCTGCACTCTGCATCCTCTGATTATAAGAAACATAACAGATCGCGGGTAATTAAGCATTTAAGAATCATAATTCATCTTCACTTTCTAATTTAAGATAACTGCATGGTCGTTGAATATTGCTCAACCAGACAATTTGATAGTGATAGAATTGATTATTCACTTGAATAGTGATCTATGAACTCTATGAATACGTTATCTTGTCATTTAGATATTTAACGCTACAAATGGAAATCTCGTATCGGTTCACCAGTATCTGGAGCATATACTCAATGTTATGACAGTACTCTTAAATTTACGTATGCTGTACTCGTCCCTTATTTATTCTACGCGAGTACCTTGTCTTCAATGATGCTGGGAATCCTTCCATTACTAGATTCAATAACGTGGAAAGTATCCAGAGAGAAGAACAGTACACGTCAGATCTCTCTTTTCCATCGACGATCATCTTCAAGAAATATGTATTTTATTTTTACTTTGATAAGTCGTACAGTAACGGATGACAATATAAAAGAAAACCTGTCGATGCGTTTTGGGAGGAGGACTCCATCGAAGAATTCTGGGATTGATCCTGCATAACATGAACCTTTCCAGCATCCTAAAAATATGGCACTTTAGGGAATGCCGGTGAATTGCCTTGAACTTGCGACCGGTCCTTTTATCGACTTGTTTTTGCTGTCTAACACCGAGAGGAGAGAAAGGTAAAAGCAGCCTTCGACCGAATTGCCGGTTCATTCACGCTGTTCGCCGTGATTAGATGCGGTAGAGAGATAGGAAGATCGTTAGACATCTGTCGTGCAAAACGACGAAGATAGAAATCGCGGATGGGAGTAGATCGACGGGACGAGTATTTAAATTTCCGAATAACGCTCGATTAATTGTTCACCGAATTAATACCCGAGAGATCCAGTTTTCGCTCGAGGGCCGACCGGCTCGAATTCTATTATTGACGTAGTCTTCTCACAAGTTCATTGCCTTCGGGAAGTCGAGATGTGTTTCGTTATACAGGCTGTATGTGTTTCTCGTTACACGGAACCTGTTAAAGACGCGTTTAATGACCAAACTGAATGCATAATTAAGTCACAGACACGCCAGCTATGACAAACTGCCGTGTAAAGCACACATAAAACGGAATACAAATTTCGTCTTGTAATACCTGTCACGCCACGTATAATTCGGTGATTGGAAACCATGTATTCACTACTAGTTGCGATAATTAAGGATGTATTGGCTATACAGTCAATCCCAAAAGCTTATGCACTTTAAAAACCCATTTTTTAAAAAGAAATCAGACGTCGGAAGAACATTGCTAATAATAAACAACAAAAAAAAATTTTTTATTTTTCCGAGATTTTTCCAAGGGGTACCCCTTCAGATTTCACGAAATTTTCGTTTTTGGCCAATAACTCCTAAACCGTTAGACATACGGGAAAATTGCATCAGACCTTTCTTGTAGAGGACGACGAGATCTACAATTTCTGTATAAAAAGTTTTCGCTAGCGTCAATAGTTAACGAGTAATTTGCAAAAAACTGTTTTTTCGTTTTTCGTCAATAACTCGTTAAATATTGATGCTAGCGAAAAACTTTTACATGGAAATTGTAGATCTCGTCGTCCTCTACAAGAATGGTCCTATGCAATTTTCTCGTATCTCCAAGAGTTTACGAGTTATTGAAGAAAAACGAATTTTTTTTCCAAAAGTTCGCCGTTTCGACGTTGGGATGGTCGGATTTTGTCAACATCAATAAAATGCCAAATAGTCATACTTAACCCGTTAAATATCGAAATTGGAAGAAGAATGCACTATTTTTAATTATAGGAAATGCGTTAGCCAATACATACTTAAAACATTTCGTCAAACTGCTTGAAAATTGTCCCTAGAACAAAATGTTCTTATGTACCACGTGCGATCTGGACTCGAGGACACGATCTACCGTACAATGGTTTCACAAATGGAATGACAATTGAAGTCCTCGAAGAAGTTCGGTTTCAAATACTCCTCAGGGTCCTTGACCCAATGAAGGGAGATATATCTTTTCGCGTATCTAGCCATTAGTGCATCTCGTCTCCATAAGAGAGTCTCCTCGGACCGAACGTTTTGCTCGATGATGTTTACACGAGAAAGCTATTAACAGGAGAGCGATAGATAAATTCGGTAGGCGAAAACGTTCGAGTGTCGCCAGCGATAACATCAGGCCTAGGTGATTTATAAGAGGTACCTTTGAAACACGTGAAATCCTTCGAACAACCAGAGGGATCATCAATTAACGTTACGATACTTATAGCGGAGAAATCAGCATCACTCGAATTTTATCATCTTTAATGTATCTATGCGTAATTATTCGATGTACATAAATCGGTAGCCGAACGACGGGTATCCGTCAAGGTTCAAGGAACTGATGTACAAACAAAGAAGGTGTACGCTCGCGTGTCGAGGAAATCGAACTGTAACATGATCGACGCACATGCCTGTGAGACCGAAGGGTCTTAAGAAAGATCCAAGGCCACGGTACCAGTCTTGAGCCAGCTTTCTGGTCGCTGGTTAGTGACCCAAGCCCAACCCGGCACATCCGACTTTTTGATTATCGTCCACGGGATACACCGAGCAGGACTTAAACGTCCCTTCTCTGATTTCTAATATTCTTTTTCTCTTATTACTGTACAACTGCAAAGGATATCGAACTTATCTTCGTCATTTATCATTCGCCGACGTGGGCGACTCATGAATAAATACAATCCCTTTAATTATCAGAATTGTATTTCAATCGGAGTCGCGTTAGTTTGCCATTCCACCGAGATTCCTATTTCGATTTTTCTACCATACCGTCTCAGGTACTCAGGTACTGATACCTAAGTTTCCGTTGAATTCGAACGTAAATAATTATAAAGTCAATGCCCTTGCATGTTGAAAGAAGTCTGTCATAAAAGAGGATGAGATATCGCTCGCACGTGAACTTTGTTAATCATAAACGAAGATCGCATACTAGCATTGGTCATCGATTTCCTCCTCAGCGACTTTTACTCGACTTTGATCCGTTCTTAAGTTACAGGCGACCCAAGGGAAACGGCATAACGGAGATGATGAATATTAATCAGGCCAGAGAATATCGCAACGATAAAAAAAAAGATAATTTCGGAACTATTAAAAAGATGATGAACTGTCGTAAAATGATGAAGGTACAGAATAATACCATCCGACAGGACAAGTATATTTGGATAAGGAAACGACGTTTGAAACTTTAGGACGAAGTTATTTCATAAATGAAACCCAGCTCTTTCTGTTCGGGTGAGCGAACCGATGAAAGAAACTCTGTCACGGACAATAGCAGATTATATAATGACTTGGAGGAATCGAAAGAAATGCCTCTTCGATATTTCTTCGAAGGGATAATTGTCGTTCGCAGATCCGTCTGTCACAGCCAGATTTTCAACCCCCGCGTGTACCATCCGTATAAAAGTACCGCGGCTCGACTCCCTTGGTACACTTCCATCTAAACCAGCTAACAGTAACGGTATTTGCGTTTACCGCAGTTCCTCCGGTACGGAAAATCATTCCAAAGGTAATTATTTAAAAATATTAAACTATATTTTATATCCTTCTTTTATAGATAATTTCGCCCGTTCGACCGTTGCTCCTGAATATTATTTTCGAAGCCACGATGGCATCGATGAAGTGTGTAATAATTTTAATTATGATGATGGGAATCGCGCTTGGAACAACCGAGGACTCTTACAGGAATCTATTGGGACTGAACGTGCCATACGCCAGAGGAATGGTAAAGAGAAATCTTGTACGTTATTAAAGATTCTATTAAATCTATGAAATGTGATTTCAGAATAACGATTTACAACTCGCAAGACTGCTGACGCTACCACAATGCCTCTGCCATAATAAACGGAACTCGGAATTGATAAACTCATTGTTGGGCCTACCGAAGAACATGAACAACGCTGGCAAATAAGTAAATCCCATCAAACTCATCAGACTACGAAACTATGCTTGTATATTATAGTAAGCCTTTGATGCATTGAACTTAATAAATTCGATAAAGGAATTACTCAGTTATTCAATCCCTCACAATAACAAGGAATAAGATTTAATAGACATAAATGTTTTAAAGTCATATTATTCTTTTCTAAATTACACATTAACAAAAAATTGGACATATTTAAAATTTCAAGTGGAAGCCACCGCCGACGGGTGGTTGTCTTCCGCCCTCCATAAGACCCATATGGAAACCTGAGTTGCTTAAATCAGCGTCGTCTCCGTCGCCTAACTGTTTGTACTCTTTCCCACCGCTCGGTGGTTTCGGCGAAGCATTCGCGGTTCTTACGCCCAACTCCGATTTAGCTGGCCAAGTGGGAAACATCTGAGGATCTATTGGCAGCGGTGCTTCTGTGAAGTAGCCATGTTTCAGCGCGTCCTCCGCAGAGATACGCTGCTGAGGATCGTACGTGAGAAACCTGAAACGAAATAATTTATTAAACGAATCAACAGAACAGAAGGTGTGATACAAAAGATTCATACTTGTTCAGTAGCTCGATGCCTAAATCCGACAAGGATAAGCTGAAACGCTGTCTTAAATTGTTTACTGGATAATGAGCGAACGGAATCTTCTGTACCATCGGCAGTTTACTGTATCCCGGCCATATTCGATCGTTTGGCGTACCCAATTCCTTGAATATCCTATTAAGTTGATCGATCTCAGATTTACCTGGGAACAGTGCCTCCATTCTTAACAATTCCGCGAAAATGCATCTGAAAAAAGGAAGGGAACATTAATGCAATTGATTTCATATAAAGTTATAATAAAAGTTGTAATAAAGTTCCTTCTGCTTACCCAACGGACCACATATCAACAGGAGTGCTGTACTCTTTCCCTTTCAGTAACAATTCAGGAGCTCTGTACCAACGCGTCACAACAATTGGAGTATATTGTCTCAACGGGGAACCGTACTCCCGAGCTAAACCAAAATCGCCAACTTTCAAAATGCCTTGATGACTTAATAACAAATTCGATGTTTTCAAGTCTCGATGAAGTATCCAATTATCGTGCAAATGTGCGACCGCTCGTAACAATTGTTGCATGAGACACTTTACTTCTCCTAGTAAAATAACATGGTTTGATTAAATTTTGTAACTTTTAACGTTAATCAATAAACAAGATAATTTACTTTTCTCGATCTCTCTCGTGAATTACAATTATTCTTACCTGGTATAAAAACTTGCTTCTTCCGCTTCATCGTTTCTATCAATGATTTTAAGTCATGCTCCACGTAGTCCATCACGATAAATATTTTATCCATATTGCTACCAACGACTATTTCTCGAACGGTGACAATATTCGGATGCTGAGCTTTCAACAAAGTGTTTATTTCCCTCAGACTGGTGATCGGAAAACCTTCTTTCTCTTGTTCCATTTTCAATCGCTTCAACGCGACGATTTCATCAGTTCGTTTGTCACGCGCTCTGTACACTACTCCGTATGTACCCTCCTCAATACGATTTAAACATTGAAATTCCTCCACGCTTCTACAGCCTGTGGAACAGTGGATTGTATTTTCCAATGGAAAATCGATCTAAATAAGAAGATTGAGATACGTACCTTGAATCGCTGGTAGGTAAGGAGGTAATTCAGGCTCCTCTTCCTCTTTCTTTTCTTCCTCTTCCTCTTCTACATTCTTGGGTGCACCGTTCGAGTCAACGTGCCCGGGCGACTCTCCATCCGAATGATCCGACTTCGCTAACCGATCGACGGACAGAGGACTCGGATTATTATAATCTGAACCGTCGTTAGAATCGGCATTGGAACCTTTGTTCGATTCATTCGACTCGTCGTCATCGTCGCTACTAGATTCCGATGAGTCGGAGGAATGTCTATCAGATGATCTTTCGCGTATGCTCTGTGGACCATCAGATGAATGCCTGGACCTGTAAAGTAGCGAGATGACATGATTATGTTGACCTGATGATTATCTGAAGACGAGAAATAAGACTGATGTGCAATACTCACTCGTTAGATTTGGAACGAAGTTCGTCGGAATGAACCGGACTCGGACTCTCGTCAGATAATTCAACGATGGATGGATCCTGATTATTGTCCGGACTCAGCGGCCGTTTCTCTCCTCTCTTCATTCTCCGCGCTTCCAACTCCAGTCGAGAGACTTCTTTTCTCCTAGCCATTTCCCTGTCAGCTTCCAATAATCGTTCTTTTCTGAGTTCCTGTTCGGTCATTTCCTTCGGATCCTTCGGCTGTATAGGCATCTCGTTCATTTCTATCTCATCTGGCTCGTCCGTGACGATCTCCATCGCCTCGCGTAACTGTTTCTCCCTATGCACCTTCTCACGTTCTGCTTTCTCTCTGTCCCTCTCGCGAAGGCGATCGTGTTTATGCGATCTCTTGTGACGTTTCTCCGGTGGCTCTATCAATTCCGTTTCGGAGTACTGTTCCTCCATCGCTCTCATGTGCCTGTGTTCTTCCATCCGTATATCACGCCGCTCTCTGCTACTGTCCAGGCTGCGAATCTCGCGTCGTTCACGCATATCTTCTAATCGTATTTCTCTACGATCCCGTGGTTCACGAATTTCCCGAGAATCCTCGATCCGAATCTCGCGTCGAGCTTCTGCCTTGTAATCCCGCATATCCCGCGAATCCTCTCGCCTCTCTCTCCTCTTATCCAGCAACCTAACAAAGAATCGTTACCATTAAAAAGTAGATAAGTAGAATATAAAAAATGTTATACTTTCTTCAAATTTTATACCTTTCTCTTAAATCTTCCAAAACCCGATCTCCTGTACTTCTTACTTTCCTTTCGTATCTAGGTTCCCTTTCCCTATGACCCTCCATCCTCTCCAGTCTCTCAATTGTTTCTCTCTCTCTTTTAGATGACCCTTCCGGTCGATCTGACCTCTCTAGAATATCTGAGTGTCTCCGGTGTCTGTGTTTCTCCCTGTGCCTGTCCTCTCCACGATCATGATGCCTCGACTTTCTTTCCTTCTCTTCTCTACGATCTCTCCTGTCACTGTGTTTCTCCCTTCTTCTAGACGAGGTAGACTTGTGATGATGAACAACAGCCTGTGGGGGTTTTATGTCCAAGGAGTCGGCTGTATCACCTCCATCTTCCTCTGAAAAACTTTAAGCACACTACTTTTAAAACGACCAATACTTAAGCATACAAAACTGATTAGTTAGAATAGCAACATCACATAATTCCATACCTGAAATCGTCCATATCCTTCAAAGGACTTTTCTTTATTTCTCCGTCCTCACTCTGATTATCAATATCCATATCCATAAGCAATATCAGCTTCTGAAGGATGCTTCAACATGCATAATTACACAGAATAACCTCGTCGATAATTATGAATGGAAATTATAATAATCACGTAATCTGTGTTATAGTAATTACACCACAAGAGCACAATAATCTTTGTCAGTCCACTGTCTGTCCAAGAGGCCCAAATCTGACAAAATGCAAAATGATGCAAAAGACCACTTACACAAGAGCCTTTTATCTTTTCTACTCTATTACAATAACGATAGTATATACGTGTACGTGCTGTACACCTAGTAACAACGAAACTGAGCCAGCTATGTGCATGTGTTAGCAGAGAGAAAAATACACGAACGGTGTAAATTATAAAAATAATAAACGTTATTCGTTCATTGTATCATTTACTTATTATTTAATCAATTAT